CAAGGAAATATTAAACTATGTACAAGAGACACAGGTGAAAAGGAACTTCAGGCAGGGGAAATATTCAGTCATTGTTTGAGTAATGTCCCCATTGGTGACGGGTCATCCCAGGGCTGCAGATCATAGTTTTGCAAAGCAGGTTCCCTATTGGGCTGCACGTGTGCAAAAGGTGCTTCATGGCGTTCACACCTTATCACCTCACATGAGGACTAACCCACCCCCTTCAGTTCCTTGCTAACGTTCTCTATCACGGCTAGAGCTTCACCCTGTTGCCTTAGGTATGCTTACCTTAGTACTTAGTTCTTATAGATAGTTGTAGATAGTTTCCCCCTAGTTCTGCTTAATTCATTATTGTTGAAGAAAAAAAATGTTTCACTTCTCAAGGAAGCGTGGTGTAACCCTGGTTGCTCAGGAGGAGGCCATGAGAACTTTGTTTTTTTCCCAGTTCTCTCCTTACTCATTTTTTTTCTTTTTTCTGCTTCCTCATCTTACAAAACCAAAAACATGGACCTAGAGGCATGCCGGGCTCACTGGACTTTAAAAAGTGCGACTAAGGTAGTGACCCCATGGCAGCCTTGGATGGACATTCATTGTGTATTTGCTGCCTGGGCATAGCCCGTATCCTGCAAAAGTGTGTGCACTGCTGCAGTCTGATAGCAAGAGCAAGAAAGAGAGAGCTCCACCTCAGAATGTTTTTATTTGACAAACCCATGCAGCCTGCTGAAGACCAACATACTTAGCAGACCCCCACTAGGGATGAGAAGTAAAGGGCTGCCTCCCCACTGCCCCGGCATACTCTTCTTCCCTCTTCTTCTAGAGTTAGCAGGGGACATAAACCCTCGTACATCTGGTACTGACACCCTCTGCAGGTTCCACACTGCAGGAACCAACTCTGGCACCGGTCCATGCCTCTGCAGTGCTGTTGAGAACCCCTAAACAGACTTCAGCCCTGGCACTGTACCATGTCCTGGCACCGCCGAAAACGCCTCGGCTGGCACTGGTAAGCTCAGCACCGAGCCTCATGCCACCGTCTTCAGGTCCTGCAGCACCAATGATGGACCCATCACACCACTCAGCACAGGCGGCACCCAGCTAAAAGATGCCCATCCCCACCTTGCATCTGAAAAGGAGATTCAGATTCAGGACAAGGATCTTGACACACATGCCCTGGACCGATTGCCAACTGATAATTCCTCTGTCACCTGATGAGGCACTTATTCCATCTGACACGTTCCCGGCTGACCTTAAACAATTCCAAGATCTTTTTAAAAGGGCGGCAGCAAGCTAAAAGTTTTCACTTCAAGAGGTACAAGAAAAAACGCACCATCTTCTGAAAATTACAGCCCACGCTGCATAGCACAATCGCTCTGCCCATTGACGAGGCAAACTCCAGCCTCTATTCAACCCACATGTAAAAGGGCTGTCAAGAAATACTTTGTTCCTGCCAATGACATGTACTTTTTATTCATGCACCCCAGGAATTCAGATTCCTTGGTTGTGAAGGCTGCACAGCATAGAACTAAGCTGCCACAATATAGAGCTGGTACCAGTGACAAGGATCATAAGAAATTGGACTTCTGGCAGAAAAATGTACTCATCCTCCACATTACAGCTAAGAATCACTAATTATTCAGCCCTTCTAGTGAATCATGATTCTAGTATTTGAAATTGGGGGATCTTCTGGAACATCTTCCCAACTCAGACCCATCCTAAATGTGCTCATTTGAGGGCCACACTATCATCCACACAGCCCTTCAGGCCTCTTTAGACATCTTAGACACACCACTGCTAGAGCCGTAGTCATATGCAGAGCATCTTGGCTACAGGCTTCCGGGGTTCTCTGTGAGCATCAGTCTAAAGTAGAAGATCTTCTGTTTGACAGACAAATTGTTTGCTGCCAAAACTGACGAGGTGTTAACATAGCAGTAAAGATTCACGCACTACCCTTTGTACTATGGGCATGTACACCGTGGCCTGTCCCAAGTGGTACACCCCATACAGTAGAAACAGATGGGGAGTACAACAGCCCACCACAGAGCAAGTCACGACAGTGAGCACAGCGGAGACATTCCACCCAAGGAAGCTCTTCTGCTACTCAGATTACAAAACAGCAGATTTGAGACATTGGTCGAGGGTCTGCATGACCTCCCCAAGAATTCAGTGCCTTCACATTCATACCATCTTTTTACCTATCAGTTCTGCTCCTTTTTATAATATTGGGAATCCAGAACATCAAATTGCTGGGTGCTGGACATAATCTGTACTGGGTACATGATCCCTTTTACTTTCCTTCTCTTCCCTCTACCCTACCCACCTGCTTCAGGGACCCTTCCTACGAGACGCTAAGGCAGGAGATTGATCAACTCCTGCTGTTGGGAGCAGTAGAGAGGGTACCCAACCAATTCAGAGGAAGGGGGTTTTATTCAAAGTACTTTCTCACTGAGAGAAAATGGGGTTGGAGACCTGTCCTTAGTCTCTGCATATTGAACAAATTTATCCTCCACAAACAGTGCTTCAAGATGGTCACGTTAACAACAATCATTCCAGCACTGGATGAAGAGGACTGGTTCGCAGCATACTTTCCACGTTGCCATACACCATAACACAGACGCTATCTCTGTTTTGCACAAGGAGCAGATCACTACCAGTGCAAGGTCTTGCCATTTGGCTTTCCTGTGCTCCTCGAGCCTTTGCAAAGGTTCTGGCTGTAGCAGCAGCATATCTACACCGACAACACATAGTCATCTTTCCTTATCTTGACGACTGCCTCTTAAAAGGATGGTCTGATGAGGAAACCACCTCCATGATATGGAAGACCAAATAGCTATTCAGTCATGAGCAATGTCAGTCTTCAACAAGCAAAAATCTACCCTAGAACTAGTGCAGCACATAGTTTATTGGTGCTCTCTTAGGGTGTGTCTAGACTACATGGTTTTGTCGACAAAAGTGGACTTTTGTCGACAAAACTATACCTGTGCCCACACTACCGCTGAGTTCTGTCGACGCTGGTAAACCTCATTTCACGAGGCATAACGCCTTCTGTCGACAGAGTTCTGTCGACAAAGTGTTATTGCATGTAAACTGTCCTTGCGTCTACACTGCCATGTCGACAAAGCAGTCAACAGAACTGAATGTAGTGTAGACGCTCTTTGTCGACAGAAGCTTTGTCGACCGTATTTGTCGACACAACTTCTTTCGACAAAACCCTGTATTCTAGACGTACCCTTTGACTCAATTTCAGCCTGGGCCTACTTCAGCAACTCTTCATGCTTATTCAGGATTTCATAGATATTCTGTCCATGAGCCCTTCCACTACAACACTGACCTGCCTACAACTTATGGGCCACGTGGCCATGATTACCTATGTTGTCCAACACGTCCGCTTACACTTCTGGTCCCTACATTGGATGGCGTCCATCTATACTCCATGTTGCTCTAATGTTGCTCATAGATATAGCAGTGCCTTTGACCTCATTGAACAATTTCTGATATTAAGTGGCAGTGTTAAAAGGAGCTTTTCCTTCCATATTTTCCCAGATTCAAACAAATTTGCTCTGTTATTTAGTGAGATGTTTTCTAGCTTCTAACACTGGAAACATGAATTTGAGCAGGGTTTTTTGCATCTTAAATAGTTTCCCAGTAATCTGCAATTCAATCTTTGCTGGGGTTTTCTTTGATATAGAGCCCAGCTCATCATGCCATATCTGTATGGAGTCAGCAACGTCAGTCACTGTAAACTAGCTGTTTTTTCCAGAGATAAGACTCGAGTCTGTCACTTTTAGATGATCGCTTTCCTTACTAACTGGAAACTGAGCTTTTGTTACAAAACTAGCCAATTCTGTAGTCTATAGGCCACGGTGTGGCCACTGATGTAGAGCATCCTGCATTGCTTAACAGTAATACCGAACATAGGTTCAGATGACTCTAGTGCATTAAACTAAAGGAAACAAAATGCAATGATCTCCTATATCTTTTTATATCATCCTATTCATTAGAGTTTAATCAACTCTCCCAGATACTCAATGAAAAGATTAAAGATGTTTTGATTTCCTAGGCACAACTTCCAAAATGTGGTGGAATTATAAGTGCTGTATAGTAAGAGGTACTTGAACAAATTATATGGCACAAATGTGGGAATGGTCTCTTAACAAGTGGGGACAGTATACATGCGAAATTGTGGTTGTCCGTCCAAGCAGCATGACATCCAAAAGTGCAGCCCCCTAATACCTGTATAACAAGTTCTGTAATTGAAGTGTGTTGGTCAGCTTAGCTGAGATCATTGCAACAGAAAGATTCATCCACACAACAGTGCATACTGCACAATATTTTTTTTAGCTTTTGATGAGGGCGCTTCAAAGACGATGGTGTAAATAGTGATCATTTGAAATGCATTTAGAATTAAATGCCTTTCACTTTACCTTCTAATAGGCTGGTAAAGCAGTCAGTTAACTAAGTACTTCTCAAATGCCTTCTCCCTCACACAGAATGCCGTAAGTTGACAAAGTCTGAGCGGTAGCCATGTTAGTCTGTAACTGGCGGAGTCCTCCCAGTGACCTTGCACTGGTGCAGAAGCTTCAGGTGCAGTGTGGTACCACTCATCCATTCAGTGCCATCTGGGGACCAGTTGTGAAATTGTGCAAATATACACATAGGGTATTATAGACAAATAGAAAACAACTCTGTGAAAGTACACCTTGTTTTCTGGTGGCAAGAACACCATCTTGTTTAATTATATGGCTGAAGGTCCATTTGAAGTATTTTGCATCTGTTTATTGTGTATGTGTACTGTTTCTATAAATTTGCAAGCATGTGGTGTTGGTCAGGAACAGTGATAAGTCAAACCATTTGTAACTTTATAAAAGGAAAGCCATGACCATATAGTTGTAAATGGAATATTTTCCCCTGTAAAGTGCCATAACTTTGTGCTTAACCCTTGCCATTCTAGAAGCTGTACCTTTCCTTTTCAAATAGCAGTAAGTTCCCTTTGTTTTGTCTTGCAGGTTTCTGAGCATGAAAAGAGGAACAAACGAAGCAGAGCAGATTGGAGCAAGACTTGTCACTCCCCAAATCTAGAAATGTTAGTTCATACGTACACTTGCCAGTGGTTGTGGGCAACCATTTACTTGGTGTAAAGAACTTAATTTCAGTATAAACTGGCTCTGGGAAGCGCTAGTGATGCTGCACTTGGAGTTGTAGCAGCCGCTGTAATTGTGAATTACTGAGATAGTGAAACATGGTGTCCAGTTTTCTATTACATTTTTTCAAGTGGAAAAGTTAACTAAATGGTTGACACAAAATGGCGGAGAAAATTGTGCATATGCCAATTTTTGTTACCTTTTTACTTTGAACTACACTGCTTATGAGATCTTATTGTTTTGGAAGAATGGCATGAACAGTCTTCTGCAACAGTTGTGATAATTGTAAATGCTCACAATTGTGCACTCTTTCTGGTTATTCCTCCCTGGATTTTGAAAGTTGTACACTTAAAACATTCTTAAAATTGTTGGCTTCTATGTGCAACATATCAAGCCAGCTGACATGGTAGTAACCAAAGATTCCAGTTTTTAAGCGTATGAAAGACTCTGCCTGCTTACCTGTGCTAGAACTAACAGCATCTAAAGTGAAGACTTAAGAGAAACTTAGCGACTACTAGATAATCTTTAGGACTCTGCATTAACTCTATAATGTTCTTGGTATAAAAGGAAAAACAGCATATTTGTCACGGAAATTTAATTAACATCTTACAACTGAACTTGTATGTAAGTTGCTTAGATAAATGTAATCACTGTAAACATCTATATGATCTGGAATTTTGTTTTTATTTTGAAATGGGAGCTTTTTTGTTTATAAGTTCATTAAAAACTAAAAACTTTCTGTAAGGAAATGAGATTTTTTTTAAAAAAAAATTTGCCTTGTTAATTCAGTCTAAAGAAATCAACACCACTTCAGTTTTTTAAACTGACAATTTCAAAGCCCTTTGTTAAGCAAAAGAAGTCATTTCTTCCTAAATCATTTTAGATTTAGTGTTGTAATTCTTCCTCACTTTTGTTTTTAAAAACATTTTGTATTTTTTTTCCTTGAGGGGGAAGGGCAGATTTGCATTTTTTATAACCTGCTGCATTGATACCCAGCCCTCTATAACAAGAGATTGACGAATTTTAAAAAATCAAAATGGCATCTTTTGAATACCAGTATTTACTGCCCACAAGCATTGCCATTGTCTTGCATTGGCTGGACTGATTTGTGATTATTAGTTTTGAAAATTTAGAATGGAAGTGTTTAGAGGGTTTTAAACCAAGGCATTTTCTTTCAAGTTCTTGTGAAGTGGATATGATCAAATTAACTCTTATTCTTGGACAGCCTCACACTGTGCAGTGTTCACATCGGTTACTGGGCTGGGCTCTCCTCCTTCTCACTCTTACTTTAGCCCAGCTGAAAGACAGAAGTACTTTTATTGCTGGTAATTCTCTAACAGTGTAATTTATTCCTTTATAGCATGTCAGAATAAATTAAAAACATCTGAAAATGCTGCCAGATGCCTATTGTGTAAATGGTGTTTTGTATGTTAGCCTTTTTTAGTCTGTTTCCAGGCGTATAACAAAGGTTTGGGACACAAAGCATATTTTTGTTGTTGGAGAAGATCTGAATTTGAAAAACTGTTATTCCAGGCCTGCATATAGTAGACAACAGCTGCTCCAAAAAAGTGTGCAATTTAATGGGGGTAATGGCATGGTAAGATACTAAATTCATATGTGGAGAAGTCTGACTTGTGAGCTGGCAACTGTATTAATAAATACTTCAGTGTTAACATGGTTAGATATCTGTCGGGTAAGTGACAGGTTTTGATATGCTCAGGATATCAAATGTCAAGATATACTTTCCCTTCTGTCTAGTTGAATGAAAGGTTCATTTTGCCTTTTTTTTTTTTTTTAAAACATTTTTCTATTTCTTTTTGTTTTTTTTTTTTTTTTTTTTTTTTTTGTAACTTAGCCTTTGAGTAGAGGCACCATCTTGCAACCAGAAGGGTAAGGATGTATAAGATAGTTGCCCATTCACTCTCAAAATGTAACTGATTTTTTTCATGTGTTTGGTGATTTTAGCGGGAAGGTTCTAGGTGTCATTCCTTAGCCTCGATTTTTGCCAACTTGAAATTCTATAAATGTGACAAATCCCAGACTCAGTAATGGAAATTCTCCCAGTTCTAAGCACCTGCTGCTGTAGCATCTAGGCATATAATTTATTTACATCTAGACACAAACTATAGTATTCTAATCAAAGGTGTATCAAAACTGAATGGGAAGTTCCACTTCTGGAAGACACTGAAATGTAAGTTCCTCCTTGGACAGCTGTCAGAGGGTTAGTTGAGCTGAACTTTATAAGCCACAAAATTCATGGAAATAGAATTCATGCTATTTCCTTGCATAGATGTAGTTCCCCAAAATTGTAGGGAGATGTCATCACAGCCTCTTTCTGCAACTGTTTTGGGAAGATATGACACTGGTAAGGGGACAGATTCCTTTCCTATGTTATAATCTTGTTTTCACTTACAAATGAGTTAGTAATGGATTATTGACAGGATAAAAATTCGCAGCAGGTGTTTAGTACTATAAACAAAGCTCATTCCTAGCAGTTTGCCTTGAATTAATTTAGCAGAGAACTTTTGATTTGATGTGAAGCTCTTGAGATCCTTTTATACTACAAAAGTCATGGAATTGTGCTACTTTCATGTGCACAGGGAGATGGAAGCTAAATTTTGTATATGGTTCCTGTACAGTATTGAAAACATGAGTCTAGCATGGGAAATGCCATCATAGGCACATCAGAATGTCATTATTTTGGAAGGCACTTCCTGCTATTGCAGCCATTGGGCTTAAAAATGAATATCTCTTCCAAAGAGGGTGAACACTTGTGTAATACACACTGTAATCAGTACCAAAGTACTAAACTGAAGCCAAAGTACTAAACTCTATGAATCGACACAGATTCTGCTCTGCCAGATTCATTCTGTTCCCTTACTAATTAGAGGGCAAAACAAAATATTTTGCAAGCTAAAACAGACTTTCCAAGCAATTATAGCAAACCTACAGTGGTCTTATATAAGGCACCAGCCTCCTAGTGAAAGCTAGAGATCCTGACAGGTGAACATAATACAATAAAGAAAATAGATGCCATGATGTCATGCCAGCCAGTCCAAAAATTCCAATTGTCCAGAGGTTTTAAGCAATTTTGTAACTATCCAAGAACATACTGTCACTTGGATGCTTTTAAAGTGTAGGCACATGGCCAAGATGTCGTCTCCTAAGTTCCATGCACTTTTCCATTCATGTTCGAACAAGCACTCTGGGTATTAGCAGTGGAGCTTCTGGTAAGAGATTCTCAGTTTTGACTTGGGATGCAGCTTTGTTTAAAGGAACAGAGCCTGCCAAATTACCAAACACACTGAAAGCCTGTTCAATGTATAACCTTGATGTACACAGTCTTTAACCAAGTTTATTCTTTTGAGGTATCTGAGGGTTCTACTGATTTTTATTAAACTTTTGAACCTAAACTCAGTTGTTGAAGAGATGTATCCTGTACTACCATTTTCTTACATCATACCTCACTCCCTGAATTTGCATGTGGCTTTGTGGATTGTACACCTACTGAAGTTGTCATTTTGCACTGAGGAACCTTCAGTGTCTAGTTCAAAACGTCTATCTAGTGAACTTTTTGCAGGGGTTTCAACTTCTCTTTACGCTACAGTTTAGAAGATGTGGCGTTTAGCCAGCCTGCTCCCTCAGCCTTCTCTATTCCTTACTTAGTGAAGTCGTCATGGTGAATTCTTAACGGCTTGATGTCATATCAAGTTTGAGTGCAAGTTTATGAGCACTGCAGGTTTCGGTGAAGTTGGGCGCATTTAACTGCTACAAGCAGAAATGTATCCCATAATGGGGCAAGTGAGGAACTATAGGAAAGTAGATCTTTGGTTTATTCCTTGATAATGGAACAGTGAGAGCATTTGCTGCAAATCCTGTATGCAGTGAAGCCTTTTTGGGCTGTTGTTCAGAAGGTGTAAGGCTGTGGACTTGATTATTTTGATGGAAACCTTCCTAAACTACACAGATGAATCAGTTTTTTGTCCCAAGTTGTGAAGAGAGAACTCTCCCTTTAACACACAATCTGTCCCAAAGAAATTGGGTCTCTTGCAAAGAGCCTTGTAGGTCCCAAATGTACTAAGTCTTCAGCTGAGTTTGAGGTGTTACAAGTTTATGAAAGCTTTGATCTAGTTGAATCACTGATTATGTGCATTAAATAGCATACACAAAGGAACTATTCACAAGTTCAGCATGTATAATTATTACTGCCATCTATAGCCAATGCTGGTTTTAGATAGGTAGGAATAATTTGTGGAAAAAGCAAACTTAGGTGAGGTAGCTAAATTGGGATCAAGCTTTCAAATACTCTAATTACACTGCTAAATAATTAAAGTATGCCAGTGGTTCTCAACAGTGGTAAGTAAACAGGCTGAGAACCAGTGGTCTCAGTACTTTAAAACTTGCCATCAGTTATGCAGTGTTTTGCTTCCTGAGATTTCTTGGAGGTACTTGACCACATTTTCAGTAAATGTTGTGTCGTGTCTGTCCGTTCGCCCCCCGCTTCTGTGACCCAATTGCTTCTCTCCTGGGTTGCTTCTAACTCAGTTCCCATCCACAAATACAAACTTCTTGCCTGACTCTGGGGGTACATTACACACAGGCTAGTTGGTGCATGCTGCAGAGTAGACTAATGCCTGAGTACTGCTTACAATAAGGCTGGTAACCTACTTTTGCAGCATGGATGCAGGTTAAATCACTTAAGTGCTGATAGTCATCTCTTTCCACAATTCCCTGGGTGTGCCTAGAAGGATGGATGTTCTCAGTTTGCTGGGAAAGAATCACAGAATGGCACAGCTATTGCAGTTTTAAGACCTGTGGGATATCTTCCCTGCTGCATCTAGCAGATAAGTGCAGCATTAGTGTGGTCACAGTAACTTGGGTGTGGCTTTGCAATGTAACTGCTCTCACCTGAACTGGACTATTCTGGGTCCTGAGCAGCTGACTTAATTCTGCCATAAGGACAGCTAGGGAACTGATAAGAAGACACATTTACAATGCTTTAATCTGATCTACCTAGAAAAAGCAAATTTTTCTCTTTTGGATTGTTGGGTTTGTCTGAAGTGCTGTCAAATGCTCCCCTTCCCCCAGTTTGTATGACAGTTCTGCACAGCAGCAGAACAGCTCAAATGAAAATATCAGAGGGAAAGGTTGGGGCACAGGTTATTCAGCCTACTTACTGGAAGCAAGTAAGCTCAGATTTCTATGCTGAACTTTATTTTTTGGCAGTTCCTTCGGCAGGAGCATTTGCTATTTTAGAAGGACTACTTCTAAGTCTGTTGCTGTTATAGCATATGTAAAAGGGTACGCCTGCTTAATATGTACTACATGCATGTCTAGTATTTAGGACCATTACAAAGGCTAAAGCATGCATTAATAATCTTTCAGGAGAAATAGCCAGTTCCTACTTTTGTGACTCATGAATTTGGCAATGTAACAGGCAAATTAGCAGTAGTGCCTGTAGGTAGCACCTGAAATTCAGTCACATTCTGGAAATAAACCCTACCCCTGTTCCCTCAGGAGGAAATCTGTCTGCAGCTGGATTGCTATTGGCCTTAATACAACTACTTTTCACTCTTCTAGGTGCACGAAGTCAGCAGTATTCTTAATAGATGTGCTTGTACTATAGCAATGGTCTCTAACCTTTTTAATCATATCACTTTTTTAATTTAAATGCAATCCAAGATCTACCTCAAACCCAAATACTCTTGCTGCTCCTCCTTTGTGCCCCTGCTCACTCCATCCTCTCTCCCTTCTCTATCCTGCCTCACTTTCACCAGGCTGGGACAGAGGTTTGTGGTGCAAGCTCTGGTCTTTGATTAAGAGATCTGGAGTGTGAGAGGGGCTCTGAGCTGAACTTAGGACAGGCAGTTGGGGTGCAGGAGGGGTTTCTAGATACAGGCACTGGAAGGGTGTTTGGATGCAGGGTTGCTCAGGGCTAGGGCAGTGGCTTGGGGTACAGGAGGGGGTTCATGACTTGGGTGGGTTTCAGGATGTGGGCTCTAAATAGGCACTGCTTACCTCAGGTGGCTTCTGGGTGGTGGTGCAGTGGGGCAAAGGAAGACTCACCCTGTCCTGGTCCTGCACCACTCTCAAAAGCAGCCAGCAAACTGACTCCATCCCAAGCCCTGTTCTCTCTCTCGCGCCCCCCCCCCCATGATGATAGGATACAGGGTGGGAGGGGGGCACCGAGACATCAGTGCCCCTCTTCTCTCTGCCCTGCCCTGCCCTGCCTTGCACAGCAAGCAGGAGGCTCGTGGGGGTGGAGAAGGCAGCTCCAAGTCAAAGGGCAGGAGGTACGCAGCTGTAGGGGGAGGGGCAGTTGAAGTGTGGGCACTTGATAGCCTCTTGGCCAAACCAGTCAGGATCCCCTGTCAGAAGCTCCAAGATCCATCCCGATCATC